AAGTTCATAGCACTAGGTGCCCACATGAAGAAACTGGAGAATAGTTAAACTAGGGAAGTAACAGCACAGCTGAAACCTCTAGAACACAGAAGAAAACTCATCCAGGAGGAGTAGATGCCAGCAAATAATCAAACTGAGGGCTGAAATCAATTAAGTAGAAACTATGAAAACAATATAAAGAATCAATGCAATGAAGAGTTGGTTCTTTGAGATAATCAGCAAGATAGACAAACATTTGTCCAAAATTACCAAACAGCAGGGGGTGAATACACAAATTAACAAAATCAGACATGAAAAGGAGGACATAACAAAGACTCTGAGGAAACTCAGAGAATCATCAGGTCATACTTTGGAAACCTGTATTCCACAAAATTAGAAAATTTAAAGGAAATAGACAATTTTGAGGATAGCTATCATTTGCCAAAATTAAATCAAGGACACATAAACAATTTAAATAGACCTATAACCACTATGGAAATAAAAGCAGTCATCAAAAGTCTCACAATCAAGAAAAGCCCAGGTCCAGATAGACTCAGTGCAGAATTCTACCAGAAATTCAAAGATCAGCTTATAAAAATTCTTCTCAAAGTATTCCATGCAATTGAAGCAGAAGGGTCTTTGCCAAAATCTTTCTACGAGGCTTCAATAACCTTGATCCCCAAACCACACAAAAACACAACTAAGAAAGAGAACTTCAGACCAATATCCCTCATGAACATTGATGCAAAAATACTAAATATAATACGGGCAAATTGGATCCAAGAACACATCAAAGCAATCATTCACCATGATCAAGTTGGGTTCTTCTGAGGGATGCAGGGATGGTTCAACAAACAAAAATCCATCAATGTAATCCACCATATACACAAGCTGACAAACAATAATCACATGATCCTCTCACTAGATGCAGAAAAAGCCTTTGACAAAATCCCAAACCTCTTCATGATAAAGGTCTTGGAGAGATCTGGGATAACAGGAACATACCTAAACTTAATAAAAGCTATATACAGCAAACCAAGAGCCAATATCAAACTAAATGGAGAGAAACTCAACACAATTCCTCTAAAGTCGGGAACAAGACAAGGCTGTCCACTCTCTCCATACCTTTTCAATATTGTACTTGAAGTTCTAGCTGGAGCAATAAGACAACAAAAGGAGATCAAGGGGATACAAATTGGAAAGGAAGAGGTCAAACTTTCACTATTTGCAGATGATATGATAGTTAACATAGGTTATCCAAAAAACTCTACCACAGAACTCCTGCAGCTGACAAATACTTTCACCAAAGTGGCAGGCTACAAGATCAACTCAAGAAAAGAGTAGCCCTACTATATACAGATGATAAAAGGGCTGAGAAAGAAATCAGAGAACCATTACCCTTTACAACTGCCACAAACAGCATAAAATGCCTTGAGGTAATGCAAACTAAAGAGGTGAAAGACCTGTATCACAGTTACTTTGAGTCTTTAAAGAAAGAAATTAAAGAAGACATCAGAAAATGGAAAGCTCTCCCATGTTCTTGGATAGGTAGGATCAATGTAGTAAAAATGGCAATCCTGCCAAAAGCAATCTACAGATTCAATGCCATCCCCATTAAAATACCAGAACAATACTTCACAGACCTTAAAAGAACAATAATCAGTTTTGTATGGAAAAACAAAAGACGCAGGATAACATAAACAACCTTATTCAACAAAGCAGCATCTGGAGGCATCACCATCCCTGACTTCAAGCTCTAATATAGAGCTCTATTCCTGAAAACAGCTTGGTATTGGCACAAAAATAGACAGGTAGACCAATGGAATCGAATTGAACACCCTGATATAATCCCATACATGTATGGACATTTGATCTTCGACAAAGAAGCTAAAATATACAATGGAAAAAAAAGAAACCATCTTCAACAAATGGTGCTGGCATAACTGGATGCTGGCATGTAGAAGAATGCGGATAGATTCGTGTCTATCACCATGCACAAAACTTAAGTCCAAATGGATCAAAGACCTCAACATAAATCCAGCCACACTGAAGCACTTAGAAGAGAAAGTGGGAGGTACCCTTGAACGAATTTGTACAGGAGACTGCTTCCTGATCATAACACCAGTAGCACAGACAGTGCGGTCAACAATGAATACATGGGACCTCTTAAAACTGAGAAGCTTCTGTAAGGCAAATTACACAGTCAACAAGACAAAAAGGCAGCCCACAGAATGGGAAAAGATATTCACTAATTCCACATCTGTCAGAGGGCTGATCTCCAAAATTTAAAACGAACTCTAGAAGCAACTCTCCGAAACACAAAAGGATCCAATTAAAAAGTGGGCTACATAACTACATAGAGAATTCTCAATAGAGGAGTCTAAAATGGCTGAGAGGCACTTGAGAAAGTGTTCAACATCCCTAGCCAACCAGGAAATTCAAATCAAAACAAATATGTGATACCATCTTACTCCTGTCAGAATGGCTATAATAAAAAACACCAAGACAGTTTATGCTGGACAGGTTGTGGAGAAAGGGAAACACTACTCCACTGCTGGTGGGAATGCCATCTCATACAGCCACTTTGTAAATCAGTATGGAGATTCCTCAGAAAAATGGGAATAAACCTACTACAAGACCCAGCAATTCCACTCTTATGCATATACCCAAAAGATGCACATTCATACAACAAGTACATCTGTTCGACTATGTTCATAGCAGCATTATTTGTAATAGCCAGAACTTAGAAGCAAACAAGATGCCCCTCAACTGAAGAGTGGATAGAGAAAATGTGGTACATTTACACACTGGAATACTATTCAGCAGAAAAAACAATGGAATCCTGAATTTTGCAGGCAAATGGATGGCACTAGAAGAAACCATCCTGAGTGAGGTAACCCAATCACAAAAAGACAAGCGTGCTATGTGCTCTCTCATATATGAATTTTAGACATAGATCTAGGGAGTGTCAGCCTACAATCCCACAGCCCTAGAGTCTGGGAAACAGAACGTTCATCCAATGGCTGATGGGAGCAGAGGCGACTCCCACAGCTAAACACTGAGCTGAACTCAAGGAACCCAGTGACAGAGAGGGAGGACTGATGAGCAAAGTGATTAAGACTGAACTGGTTTAACCCCAGAAACAGCTGACCTGACAAGGGTTAGCTAATGAATCCCAGACTGATTGCTGGGCATCAGCATGGGACCGATCAAGACCCCATGAAAGTGGGTATGAGTGAGGAGGCCTAGGTAATTTACTGGGCTTTGTGTAGTAGATCAGTATTTATCCCTGGCATACAAATGGACTTTGGTTGCCCGTTCAACAATGAGAGAAGCACTCTCACTCTGGACTCTTGTGGGAGGTTCTAGCGCCTGACCTGGATGAAATGACAGACTATGGACACCCACATGGAGGGCCTCACCCTCCCTGGAGAAATGAGGGGGTGTTGGGGGATTGATGGTAGGGCATGGGAGGAGGGAAGGGAAAGGGAGAGAGACCAGTCATTGACATGTATAGCAACCTTATTTCTAATTTATATTTAAAAATTAAAATTAAAAGAGAAAAGAATGAGCAACACAACTACAAAGTTTTTTTCTTCAAAGGAGACATGTAGGTGAGTGTTGTGCCTTTCTGATCCTTCTCTAAGAAGTATAACAAGCCCTATTTCCTTTCAGTGGGAAACACCAGCTTGCATTCAGTCAGGTTCTCTTGAATTTCTGTCCCAAACATGAGTTAATCTACTTACTTTTTCGACCCTACTCAAATTTCCCTGCCATTAAACAAAGCAGCATATACCCATGAGGATTTCTCAGTCACATCAGTGTTTACATTCCCTGAAGACAAGCTGATGTAACTTACTTTTCATTTTCTGTACAGAACCATTGTGCCAAAGAGATAAGCAGAAGTGACCTATGACCCAGGACAAACGTGTTATCATGGCCAGTCATAAAGGAAGAAAGGAGCTGAAGCCTTTGGATCACAGATGCTTAGGTGATAGGTAGATGAGAAGAACAGAGAAGAAATATTTTGTGGGTTGAAGAAGCAACAAGCAATACAGAGAACAAGTAAAAGTACAAAACAAACACATTTTTTCTTTCTTTTTTTTCCTTTTTTTTCTTCTTCTTCTTCTTATTTTGGTTTTAAGAGACAGGGTTTCTCTGTATTGTTTTGGAGGCTGTCAGTCCAGCCTGGCCTCAAACTCACAGAGATCCGCCTACTCTGCCTCCCGAGTGCTGGGATTAAAGGTGTGCACCATCACAGCCCGGCCACATTTTTTCTTTTATTTCTGCTTTTTATATTTTATTTTATTTTATTATTCATTTCACATACCAACCACATTTGCCCCTCCCGCCCCTTCTCTCCCTTCCCTTGAACTCCCCTCAACCTACCCCCATCCACTCCCCTGAATGGGTAAGGCCTCCTATGGGGAGTCAACAAAGCCTCAATACTCAGTTGAGGTTAGGACCACCATATGGAATGGGCTTCAAAAAGCCAGCTCATGCACTAGGAATAGATTCTTGTCCTACTGCCAGGGATCCCACACACATACCTGGCTATAAAACTGTTTCTCACATGCCGAGGGCTGGTTTGGTTTCATGCAGTCTCCCCAGCTGTTCATCCTGAGTTCATCAGCTCCCACAAATTCAGGTTAATTATCTCTGTGGGTTTCCCCAATGTTGATCTTGACTTGCCTTGTTCATATAATCCCCCCTCCCTCTAGTTGACTGGCTTCCCATAGCTGGGCATGGTGCTAGGATGTGGATCTCTGAATTTGCTTCCATCAGCTACTGGATGAAGGCACTACAATGACAATTAGGGTAGCTGCCAATCAGATTATAGGGGAAGGTCAGTTTAGACACCCTCTTTGCTATTACTAGGGGTCTTAGCTGGAGTCATTCTTGTGGATTCCTGGGAATTTCCCTAGCATCTGATTTCTCCCTAGCCCTGTAATGGTTTCCTCTATCCTTTACTTGCTCTCCCACCACATCCCTCCTCCACCTTGACCATCCCATTCCCTTATGTTCTTTTTGGCAGCACATATACTAAAATTTGAATGGTGCAGAAGAGAATAGCATGACCTTTACAGAAGGATGACACACAAATTCGTGAAGCCAACACATTTTTTACTTAGTTTGGAATACAGTGACTAGATTTAAATATAGTAAAGATCATTAAACGATGATTGCATCGTAAAAATATTTGTACAACTATAACTATAACTAACTAACTAACTATATATCTAGTTACAATTTTAGGGTTTCAATCCATAGTGAGTCTGAACAATCATAATCCATAATACCTACTGCATATTAATTATTGGCCTAACCATTTGAAGACATTTAAGTAAAGTACATATTTTGAAAAGATAGACTAATTACCAAATCTAAGAAAAGGAACTTCTTAGAAATGGTTGTTGTTTATCAAAAGGCATTTTTAAGGCTTCAGGGAAAAGTTTTATTTTGAAAAAGACTAATGCTTACAATGAAAATTATTATATTACAATTGAGTAGAATTCTTAGTAGAGATGAGGAGTTCATGGCTTCTGGGAAAGTCAGGCACATGGTTATTAAACGGAAACAACTCAAATTCAGGAAGGATAATAAGAGCTTCAAATCCAGATGAACAACTACTAATTTTAAATAATAGCAACAAGAATATTGCATGATACTTTTTAAAAACTTTGCCAAAACAATAAGTCAAAATTTCAATTTTCTCTCCTAGTGTAACCATAATGAACAGTAAAGGACCCAAATGTGTTTAGAGAAAGAATATGAGCTTGTTAATAAAAGAGAGAATCTGACCTAGCAAGGATCATAACAGAGAGGGAAGAAGGGTCATTGATATCCCATACAGGAAAACTTTATCAAGATTTTGATAAGTAACTGGTACCAGCCAATCTTCCCTGTATTAAATAACCATAAAAATGAAGAAGAGGATACATAATATGAAAATGTATAGAGAAAAGAACTCTGGAACTGAGTTTGGAGAGCCAGAAGACTAAGGAGGCGATAATAAGCATGAGATGATGTCTCATATATTACTCATTAGACTAGAGTCCAGAAAGAGCTGGGGATTCCTCTGGACTCAGCAGAAGAAGGCCAGGCATTTGCCATCTTCAAAACAGAGGTTTAAATGCCGGGCGGTGGTGGTGCACGCCTTTAATCCCAGCACTTGGGAGGCAGAGACAGGCGGATCTCTGTGAGTTCGAGGCCTGGCTGGGCCGACAGGTCCAAAACAATACAGAGTAACCGTGTCTCGTAAAGCCAAAAAAAACAAAAAACAAACAAACAAACAAACAAAAAAACCCCAAAAAACACAGAGGTTTAAAGACAGAAGTATTGTTCAGGAAACCATAGCCTATATTTGACCCCCTTGAGGCTTTGGCCTGAATTCTTTGCATGATGTGCTGGGTGATAAAAATTGCACTTTCTTAAAGAGCAACTGCAAAGCTGAGAACAGAATAGAGGTATCAACGTTGTTATGCAGATGAGGAGACTCTGAGTCATGGGGAATTTACATCAGAAAGGTCATTCTCTAACATAAGAAAAATATACCTCCAAGTAAGATTTCCTGTGGATAAGTTCTACAAAGATAAAAGCTAAGCTCTGAGACGATCCACAGAGAGACTGAAGAATAAAATGGCCTTAGCTTCCAGTGCTCTGCCCCAATAAAGGACGAAGTAAAGTTCTTATAAGGTCAAGTATCCAGTTCCATTATTCAACTTCCTGCAAATGCAAGTATCAACTTCATGAGGCAAAAGACAACAGAATACTGAATTATAAGTGTATCAACCAAAAGTCTAACATACAACCAATATTACTGGATATCCTAGGAAAAACCAAGGTAACATTATATACCAAGAAAGAACAGAAGAAAGCAAGCCTGAGCTATTTAGAGAACAGATCTATTCTAGTAAGAGATTTAGTCTGAAGAATTAAAATTGTCTATGCTTGTGTATTATTTTCTGGGCAACTGAAACACATTGGTTTGTTGTGACCTCTGAAAGTCCTTGGATTACTAATTTTTCACAGCTTAACTTGTTTTGCCTCATGAATGTACCATACAAAATTACAAGCTATTAACGAGGACCCAGAGTTTTCCTAAGCCAAAACCGGCAAAAGCTTGATCTCCAAGCTAGAAATTTGTTTGTATCTTTAATTTCCTTGTGAGTTTCTCTTACTAAGACCCTTGGCTTCTTGGAGAATGTGGTTAAAGACCATCCTTAGTTCTTTGCCTAAATCACACTTACAACTTGACAGCCAGAAGGGAATTATCTGCCAGCAGGTTGCAAATCATAATCTTTTGTGGAAACTCAGGAACTCTAGATTAACAGCCTTGGAGCCTCCATGGGACAGAAGTAGGCCCTCTGCATGTGGGAGACAACTGTGTAGCTGGGTCTATCTAAGGAGACCCTGACAGAAAGACCAGTATCTATCCCTGGTGCATGAGCTAGCTTGTTGGAGCTCATTCCCTATGTGGGATGCTTTGCTCTGCCTTAATGCAAGGGGAGGGGCTTGCTCCTGCCTCAACTTAATGGGTCAGACTTTGTCAGCCTCCCATGGGAGCCCTTATACTGTGGAACGGGTGGATATGATGTGGTCTGGGAGGAGGGGGGCAGAGAACTGTGGTTGAAATTCAAAGTGAAGTTAAAAAATAATAATATTTAGAAAATCTTTAGAACAAAGGCAAGGATGGTAACTAATGATCATGATCCCTGCCATCTTAAAAGTGTCCATGATAACCTTAGTCATCAGGAATGCAATCAACTCCATACATATCAGTGAGAAAGGCAGTTTACAGCAAAAAGTGTCTAAAATACCCAATGTGGTTTTTTACTACACATGTAACTCTACAGAAATATTGGAGTTGTAGACAAGGGCATGTGACTTTGGCAAAACTGTTTGCTGGTTACTTATAGAGGGGACCAAATAATCATCGTGTAGCACAGCTCTTCTCCAAATAGTCCACTGGAGATTCTTATCACTAAGAAAATTTATGGGACCCCAGGCGTGAAAGTTTATTGTTATAGGATATTATTTTGACTATGTAAAGATGTGTTGCATTTGTTTATGCTGCAGAATATCACTTTAATGGTGTAAAGGTGTCTTATATTTGTTTACTCTATATTTGTTTAATGATGTAAGGATGTGTGTTTAATTATGTAAAGATGTGATGCATTTGTTTTACCTTGTCTGCCTCAGGCACCTGACTGGTATAATGAAAAGCTGAACTAGGTAGTAGAGGCATAGGTAGGGCTGACAGGCAGAGAGAGTAATTAGGAGGAGAAATCTAGGCTCTAGAGAAGAGAGATAAAGAAAGAAAAGGAGGATGAAGAGAAAGTGGGGGCATGCCTGGGGTCAGTCGCCAGGTAGCCACCAACCAGTGAGACAAAGACACAGTAGGAAAGTATAGAAAAAAGGAAGGTTAAAAAGCCTACGGCAAAACATAGATGAAGAGAAACAGGTTAAGTTAAAAGAATTAGCAAGAAATCAGCCTAAGCTGAGGCCAAACATTCATAACTAATAATAAGTCTCTGTCTCTTGACTTGGAAGCTGGTTGGTGACCAAAAGAAAACAGCTATGCAAATCTATTTTTTGTTTGTTTTTTTGAGACAGGGTTTCTCTGTATTGCTTCGGAGGCTCTCCTAGAACTCACTCTGGAGACCAAGGTGGCCTCAAACTCACAGAGATCCACCTGCCTCTGCCTCCCGAGTGCTTGAATTAAAGGCGTGCACCACCAACACCCAGCTCAAATCTATTATTTACCTCAAACTAAATATAACTACATTTTATAACAATTCCTTGACACACATATGATCTTCCCATTTTAAAGACAATATAAATTTTGAATACTAATGAAATGGATATCCTTTTTTCATTTTCATAAACAGAAATAAGTCTTGGGCTCATAGTGGATGTTGTAGGATACAGAGTACTTTCGGCTTTTTTCACAATAATAAATATTTTGATGCTATAATGGTCAGTGATGAAAATGCTCTTTACATAAATAAGTACCACAGTGGAAAACTACACATGTGGGATGGTTATATGGCTCAGGCTCTAAAGGCACTTGTTGCTAACCCTAGATCCCTGAGGTCATTCACTGGGATCTGTGGAGGCATGGATAAGGATTCATGGGACTAGGTTCAAATATCAAATATAATTTATTTGGGGAGAAGTCACTTACACAAGAAGTAGATGACCACCACAGGTTCTCATTCTAATGATCCCCACAGGCTGCCCCCTGTGACCTGGATGCAAGAAGCTGCCTGTCTGGACCAAACCCCAGACCTAAACTCACTTCTAGTTACTTCCTTACCTGTGACCAAATGGGCGTGGTCAGTGCTACAGGTGCAGGCAGGGTAGATATCTCACTACAGGGATCCACATGATAAAAGGAGTGGACCAACACCTGCAAATTGTCCTTTGACTTTCATATGTATAAATGATGAAATACAGAAATACAATAAATATTTTAAAAATTAAGAAAAGAGCTTGCTATTTTGTTCAGTCATTTCAGAAATTATTAGAAATTTATCCCAGTTTCAGATGAAATTAAATTAATCTGTGTGTGTGCATGTGTGTGTGTGTGTAAGTGTGTGTGTGTATGAAATCAACTAAGCAACTCAAAGAGCAAATAAAAAATGTAAAACAATATAAGCCACAGAACTGTTAAACTGATATTTACTTGTCAAGCAATGGTGTTATGAAATATTAAAAATTTTAATTTTGATTTCTATGATTAACCATTATGTACTTTAAGAGTAGGAAACTTTGGCCAGGCATTGGTGGCACATGCCTTTAATCCCAGCACTTGGGAGGCAGAGGCAGGTGAATCTCTGTGAGTTCGAGACCAGCCTGATCTATCAAGCGAGTTCCAGGACAGGCTCCAAAATAATACAGAGAATCCCTGCCTCGAAATACCAAAAAAAAAAAAAAAAAAAAAAAAAAGTACGAAACTTTGTGTGTAGAATGAGAACGTGATTGTTCACTCCACACCATAGCATCAAATGTAAGCCTAGGTATTGCAGGGAACATTTGCTGCCTTCATGCAGTGTGAAAGCATGCAGCCTTGTGAAGAGCTTATGCTTTGTGTTCATAACAGAATGTGTAGGGAAGACCAGAT